CCACAAAATGCCCTTTTCCTCATTTACTTAATTATATGCTTATCATTCGTAAAGTTTATCTGTGAGTCTGTAGAGAAAACAAGACACCACCAAGTATGGGTGGGTGTAGCAATGGGCAGTAGGCTAGGACCGAACTACGCTTGTCTGTTCGTCGGCCACGTCGAAGAACAAATCTTCCAACAGTATCCTGGAAAGAAGCCTGACCTCTACAAACGATATATTGACTACATCACAGCCTGCAGCAAGAACGAACTTGACAACTTTGCTGAATTTATCAACAACTTTCATCCAAGCCTTAAATTCACTTGGGCCATCAGTGACAATCAACTGCCTTTTCTAGATCTCCTGCTGAAACCAACACCCCAAGGACTAAGTACTTCCATCCACTACAAAGAAACCGACTCACACTCATATCTTACAAACACTTCGTCACATCCCGTCTGATGCAAGAAGTAGGTCCCCTACAGCCAGTTTCTGCGCCTCAAACGAATATGCAGTGTGGAGAACGACTGCAAGACCAAAAGCAAAGAAATGGCATCATTCTTCCTGCAATGTGATTATCCACTAGCAGTTTTAGATAGAGCCCTTCAACACGTTGACACTATCCCCTGAGATGCAGCCTTACGACCACCTAAGGACGGACAATCGAACAGAGAAGTCATCCCTTTAATCTTAACATACAACCCCATCAACCACCATGTAAAGAACATCCTGTCAAGAAACTTTGACCGTTCAAAATCTGACCCTGAAACTAAGGAACTGTTTGATAATTCGCTAGTACTCAGCACATACCGCCACGACACCAACCTGAGTGATTCCTTGGTCAGCAGCAACCTTCAATCCGGCACAAACACTGAGGATGAACCAAATGGAACTTTTCCCTGCCGTTGTCCACAATGCAAGACCTGTGCCCATACCAACCCAGCCTCCCAGAGCAACACCTCCGGTGGACCTCTGACCATACGGTAGAGATTCTCATGCACGACAAGTAACCTCGTGTATATCACTTGTTGGGCATGCACTATGTCGTACGTTGGCGAAACCGGACGTAGACTTAGGGACAGGTTCTGCGAACACCTCAGATCTGTCTCAAAGAAAGCTGACCTACCCGTTGCTAAACATTTTTCCTCCCCCGGTCACACAACAGATGATATGATGGTAACTGTTGTTCGAGCGAGTCTTCACAACAGCAGGGATAGACGTAGAGTGCAGGGCCGCCTAATTTTTAAAAAGAAACTCTACAGCAGCCCGGCATAAACATTGACTTCAAGTTTATTTGAGCGAACTCTTCCAGCGCATGCTTCAAATGTTGCCACATTTGAATAAAATGACGCACATTCAGTGTAACGGCATCTTCCACTGATGAAGGGACAGTAGTCCCGAAACATCTGGATTTTCAAACATTTTGGCGCTAAGAACACAAAGACAAATTTTAATTGTAATCACCACCAAGTATACATAGTTTGAAAAAAATGATTGTGTCAAAATATGAAACTGAATGACTTATTAGCGTTAACATTGAAACAACTGGCTTCTTTATAACAAAAAAATGGTTTAAATCTCTTAAGAATTTTGGTTTGAAATAGGTCTTGTTCTTTATCTTATTGCCTGATTAACTGCAATTATTTATATTTGTCATAATTGCTTAGTTTAAGTGTGACTAGTACTTGCTGTATTTTTTCGGTTACAGATACCCTGAATTTTTTAACTTGATTCTTTCAAGTTGATGACTGAAAATTTTGTATAAATACCCAGTTATAAGACGCAACCTCAATTTTGTGCTTTTTTCGCCATATTCACTTGCAAAACAATAGCTTTTTTAGAGTTCCTAATTACAGTCATGTCAACTTTTTTAACAAAGGGGAAAAAAGTCGCACACTTACAAGAACAAAGCAAAAAAAATCACACCTCTAAAAGATATATAGATAAATAGAGTATTCCTTCTTAGGAAACATTGCTTCTTTCTGAAGCTATGAATACTAATTGATCCAAATTCAGCTTTATA